AAAGCGTTACCTGTCGCCCATAACACTTACGGTCCATGCACTTGGGTTTATGTAACAAAAATGCAGAACCGCAGGTGCTTTATCACCGTGAGGACTAAGATGATATGCCTCTTGCCTGTAATTGTGCTGGCTACCTTATCCTTAAAACCGGAACACAACAATGTAATCATCGTTGTATGGCGGGAGAAATAGATAAGGGGGTGGTACCCATACAGTCGGACTCCTCAGGCTTGACAGAGTCCTACCACCGGTAAAACGTGCATGTTTACATAGATAAAGATAATGATGATTACAAATATACAATTTACGCACTCGCGCTTTCTTTAAGATACATTTACGTTTTAGGCCCCTATTTCTAGTCCTAAATGGGTCGGCTTTAAAGTGGAGATGACAATATATGATAAATGTTCAAGTATTTGCGAACTTAGAAAGAAAGAATTAGGTAAAAATGATGAAATATCAAAATATAATATCAAACGCCCAAGAATATAATAAGTTTTGTTTTAAATAGTCTAAGTTTAAGTTTTAGGATAAACTGGAATACTAATTACGCTAGTTAGCCATCCGAGTTCCAAGACAAGAGATAAAATTACAAAAAAACACTTACTTCTAGTTACTAAATCAATTTTTCCGTCAATAAAAACTAAAAGCTCAATTTAATACAAACCTCTATGTAAGCCATCCATAGGTTTACGCCATCCGCAACTTTTAATCCAATTACAATAATACATTTTATATTTACTAACGGGTGCCCTATATTTTCGATTATAACATAGATATGAATATATTTTATTCTTTAAATTGACATAATTTTTTTATTTATAAACCGATTGAAATAAAACATGTTAAGTGAAGCTTACCACAGTACAATTAGAGAAAACCGCGCCCAAATCGGTTAAGAGTGCGCCATGAGACCGCTACGATTGGGATTCGGAGGAGCGGGATGACAAGACAATATTCTATCGTGAGTGAGAAGTATAGAACAATAGATGCTCAACGTATTTAAGCGCCAAAACGGTTTTTAATTCATTATAAATTAATTAAACAACCAATCGAAAAGTGATATTCGGTTACTGAAGAAATAATTCTAGGCTTCTAAATAACAATATGTTCGCAAAACATATGGCACACTCTTAAGACGTTTTTGAGATTAGCACGCACAAACGCATAGACAAAAAGACAAAAATTCTGAAAATCATTGTTTTGGGTTCTATTGCAAAAGACCACCAATAATATTTTTTCTAAAATATCTTTCATGTACAGACAGCAATGAGTTACAATATTATTATAAAATATTAATAAGGTAATTTGAAAAATGTTTGGAAAAAAATAACGTTCAATAAAAGAAATCATGTATTTCTTATTTTCAATAAAAATATTTTAACTTTGACTATATGTGTAGATTTTACGATTTTTACTGTGGAAAAGATAATCAATTATACGCACAGTATATAATAAAATCATTTAAAAATATAAAGTATAAAAATTAATGTTCTAAGCTAGATATCGTCTGGAAAATATTTTCGATAAAATTCTATTATCGCTGAAGAAGAAAACTAATAGATATTTTACGCTTATCGGCCCCGTCGATCCTCTTACAAAACCACCAACAGAGTGGCACTAATTGATGTACAAGGGTTTTCTTTATGTTTTTCGTCATATAGCCATTTCTAACCATAAGCATGACATGCGTGACTGTAGCTTAATAAGTACTATTCTTGTGAATCTGCTTATTAAATATACATACATACATAGTATGTATGACGTACGAACATAAGAATATATTATATAGATATATTTATATGGATTTATATACAATACTAGCGGACCCGAAAGACGTTGTCATGTCTACACGTCTTTAATTTGAAAATTTCAAACTTTTTTTAATATTTTTTTGATGAATATTATCATTCAAATTGTTAATCTAAACCATTCCCAGATCCCCTTGAACACACACAAAAAATTTCATCAAATCGGTCCAGTCGTTTGAGAGAAATTCAGTGACATACACACTCACAGAAGAATTATATATATAAAGATAATAATATTAGACGCTTTAATATGTGAATGCAGCTTCACGCTTGGTTTTAGCTTAAATTGTTTTAATCTGTGAGCGTGTAATAGGAAGCACACGGGGTCATTTAAGCAACCGACTTCACACCTACCGTCTTAAAGGTAGCCATCTATCAAATAGAGGCGGGTCCGATAGCTGTACGTTCAAGACAAAAGCCTAAGATTTATTGTTTCATTTTACCCGCTATAAATGCACGTAAACGTAATGTGTATATGTATAATATGTAAATTTATTTATTTGTTATTTACTTAGCAATTTACTTCTGCCTGCGGCTTTACTTGTATATAATGTCAGACCGCAAGAACTTAATCTATACATATAATAAATTTGTAACTAAGCCGAATCTGTACATTAAATATTTTTTGGAAAATCTTATTGAAATAGACATTAGTATCGATACAGAGGCCGAATCTATTGTTTTTAGAATTTTTGTCTGTCTGTCTGTTACCGCATCACAGAAAAACCACTGGAGGGATTTTGATGAAATTTTGGTATGGTGATAGCTGGTTATCTGGGTCAACATATAGGATACTTTTTACCGCGGGAAAATATCTCATTTCTAAGAAAAAATACAAAAACGGCAAAGTAAGAGTAGGTATACTAATATGTAAAACCTAAGAATTTGGTTTTTGGTCATCTGAAAGCGGGCGGAGCCGCGGGCAATGCTAGTCATTTAATATGAGCATAATTCGTTGTATTTTCGCTTAAATAACTTCAGTGCCAGTAATGAAAATGTTATAGGTGAGTTTATTTTACGTCATATAATGTGTTGCACTATTAAAAAAAAATTCGTTGAAACCTTTTAAGCTGTTTATTGAGATGCTCGCAATTAGTCCAATAAACATATATTTATTACTTCGCTTCGTATTTGGTGTATTATTTTATAATTCACGTAACTTCTCCTTTGTCTTACATACATTTTTTTATTTAAAACGTAATCTTTTAACAAAGAAATCAATTCGATAAAATGAATGCACTCTCGTATATCCAAAGCTTAAGCTAACATGAAGAACCGATTGAAGTAGAGAAATCGCTGTTGTTTAAATAAAGTTCTGCAATAGCTATTACGAATCTTTTTCAATGAATTGATTAAAAAGATATTTTCAGTCGAGAAAGTTTGATTAGAATATAGTAAATTACACGTATTAAAAGTTTAGATACTCTCTGTAGCACCATAAATAATTATTATTTAGGGGTTGAATTCATAATAAATATTATCAGTCATAATAATAATAATAATAATAATACCTTTATTGACGTAAATACAAAAGGGTTACAAGACATTTATTTTTAAACTATATAATTAGCACAATCTTTGTTTAGGTATACTAACGTCTGAACTAGGCCGAGCCTGTATCTCAGACGCTAGCCTCTTCCTATTACACAATTTGTTTATTGCTAATAAGTTAAATGTAACATAATACTAAAAATATATATGATATACAATGTAAACAATTTCGAGATACATCAGCGTAGGTACTTATTTAATTTACTAAAAACATCTACCGTCATTGTGTAATTTTTAGTTATTATTGAAGTTAGACCACTAAAGCTATGAGTTTAAGCATTAAGAAAAATATGTATATTGTTTAATTAATTTACGTAAGATTTTTTTTTTTAAAGATTTTCTATAGATATTTTTTTTTAATATGATATATTTTGAACCAGTTTTATATTATTTGTAGATGTTCATTTGTAAATAATTTGAATAATAAATTTGTATAATTTATATCATTTATGGTTGTTTATTTGGAAATATTTAGGTATATTTTACAATGTTTATAGTTGTATATGTATAAATATTTAGGCATATTTTTATTATTTGTAGTTATCTGTATTTAGGTACCTATATATTATATCTTTATAGTTGTTTATTTGTATAAATTTAGGTATGTACTCGTGTATGTAATTTAGCAAACTAGTTTAAATTTAATTCTTTGTTTTAAATTTTGTTAACAATCATTTATTATTTTTGACTATTATGATCAAGGTCATTATTAATATGAAAGTTTTTACTATTTTGTAGGAATTTTTAAAGACTCGGTAATATAACAGAAAAAAAGCACTTATTTTATTATTTCAATTAATTTCTCAGTTTCTTCGTAATTTTTATTTTGTAACCAGGCTACCAAGATCTTCTTACATTGATATTTATTTTTTGAATAGATATTTAAAATTTGATTGATTTTATTGTATAGCATAGGACCCAGAAAGCACTGATATTTATTAATAAAAGCAGTATTGAACTTGGACGTTGCACAGACCCTGTTTTGACGTCTACTTGCATTGTTATAATTATATGGTGATTTCTCATGTTGAGATAGTATTAAATTAACAATGAATAATTGTCGAACTGTTAGCACGCCACATTCTGCGTATAAATTAGATGTAGGATATCTATAAGGTTTAAATTTTATCACTTTTAGCAGGGACCTCTGAGCTCTCTCAAGTTTTATCATATGTAGTAGTCATATGTTTTACTAGCGATTTACCCTCGATTTGCTCGGTTATGTCGCTTAGTGTGTTTTTGTCATACATTTCATTGCTTCATTTCAAACCGTTTAGGCTGCGCATTTCAATCAAATCGATGGCCAGTTTTTTCAGACTTCGATTAAAGTTGTTACGATTGACAATAAACACATTTTTATCTAAAATAGCATATATCACTCATTGGCTATACAGCTTGCTAGTAAAAGAATTTTCAGAATCAGATCAGACGTTTCTACGATTATCATTACATTCAAATTTATTATCTTGTAAAGTTTTCAATATTGGTGTAGATAAATAAATAGTTTATATAAATGCAGATAGATTTGTATATTTTCTTTTTTTATCGGTGTAATATAAATATTATTATAAGTAATAGTTATAATAAAAAAAATCTTACCGTATTCTTGGTGGGAGAGTTCAGGGCTGCCTTCTCTCAGGGCATAGTCGGCGTCGTCGGGCGCCGCCGCGCGCGCCCCGCACCAGGGCACGCAGCAACGGAACACCCCGCCTCCGACCACTTTGGAGCCGTGCGCGCCTCCGCACTACCACTACACACACTCTGCCAACCACTCACAAATAACTTTGTAATCACCATTCGCGTTCTACATCACCGATTACTTCCACGTAATCGATCCCATCACTATTTATTATTTGGCACGTTTAAATTAAGTTTATTAGTCTAGATCAGTCTTAATATGTAGTGAAGATAATTATGCTGATATGTCAGTCGGTTCATTGTAAGAAGAGTATTTTTTCTAAATAACACTGATTTAAATAGTTTATAACGTGGAGTAAAAAATGTTAGATATTATTAAACTTTCGTTTCAGATAACACTTTAGACAATTAAAAAAGAAATGGACAAAGTCATAGAAATTCCTTTTTAGTTATTATTTAACTCATAGTGTAGTGTGTAATACTGTATTCAAGAAACCAATTATTATCGATTCACTTCTTACTTACAGTTGTTAATAGTGCCTACATACGACTAAAGAAAACACGATAATATGTTAAACGATATATTTACTCAATCAAAGGAAAAAGATTATCTTGATTGCTTTGTATTATAAAGCTCACGAAATACTCATAAATCGTTATATAATTACGGTTAACAGAGATAGATGAGCGTTATTTTAATAAATAAATAAATTAAAATTGAATGGCTGCAGTTTGTGGCAAATGGGACAAAAAAGTAAAAATAAATTAAAATAAATTAAATTTTTATTAAATAACAAACGAAAAGCTGTCATACGATCATCTTATATTATGTAAATTCCAGTTCTGTAATTCGACAGTAAAATGACTTGAAAAATATAAGGCGGTTTAAATACGAAAATTACTGATCTACAGGTATTTTATACTTAAATACATATTAAAGATCGATAAAGATTTCACGTATCTGTTTTATTCTATCCGAATTACGTAGATCAAAGTGCATTATGATCGTGACGAAAAGATAATATACATGTATTCTTTGGCAATGTCCCAGTTAGACTCATAGTTATTCTTCATAGAATTATTAATGTCGAGAGTAAGCACATATACATATATAGATAGATTTGAAGTTATTGGAGGGCTCCAATAACTTCAAATCTATCTATATATATAATAAAATTGTGACTAAGCCGAATCTGTATATTAAATATTTTTTTAAAAATCTTATTGATATAAACATTATTATCGAAACAGAGGCCGAATCTATAGTTTTTAGAATTTTTGTCTGTCTGTCTGTCTGTCTGTAACCGCATCACAGAAAAACTACTGGAGGGATTTTGATGAAATTTGGTTTGGTGATAGCTGGTTATCCGTGTCAACATATAAGATATTTTTTACCGCGAGAAAATATCTGATTTCTGAGAAAAAATACAAAAACTGCAATGTAAGAGTATACTGATATGTAAAACCTAAGAATTTGGTTTTTGGTCACTAAATGCGGGCGGAGCCGCGGGCAATGCTAGTATTAGTATAAGTGGACATATGAAACCTACATCATTTTATTTTTGTATTTTGTGACGAATATATGCCACATATCTTTTTCATATAAAAGAAGCCGATTTTATTAATAAATAAAATGTGAACTTTTGAAATATTTTCAAATCTATTATTGTAAGATAGAGCTCTAATAAAAAAATATTGCGCCAATTTGAAAATATTTCCTTAGCAAAATTATCATTCAGAATTTATGAATACTATAATTCTACATATGTAATGATTCATAATATTTTTTTTGTATATATTGGTTGTTGATTATCCAACGCAATGTAAATGCAATATTTAACTTTGGCTATTGTTTTATACAATTCGTGTTACAAATATATTGTAATTTCAAAACAAATGACTCTCTGATTCAAAAGAAAATAAAATACCGCATTGAAAATATGTTAAATTATGAAACTGAGAACACACAACGAATGCAAAAAAAATTAGATAAGAAGCAGGAGTTTTAAAAAAATTTCATACATAACGCTTTTTTATATTTACTTTGATATTACAATTTTACATTAAAATTGTCTTGTATAGGCTATCAAATAGTGTTATTTATTTCTTTTATTACTACAACGTCATAGTTTTTAACGTTGGTGCCATGTACCAAACGAACATTCAATTTTTTCTAAAGTTTTCTTGGAGTCCAGTCTGTATAACACTATTTTGACGGCCAAATACGCATCCAATTGTGATCAAACGACCTTGGTAATAATTGGCCACGCGTCTATCTACAATGGACGATGAAATATACAATATTGTCATTTTATTCCGTTATTACGAGTGCCATGTAAGGATGAGCTATGATCGAGCTGTACAATTACTTCTCATTGAGCGGTCGGTGCTACAATTGCTAGACGTTTTTGTGGCCATCATCGCTAACAACCTATTAGGTTAGTATAGACGGTCTCAATACGACCTATGAACTGCTGACGTCAGCAAGATCTACTTTATTCAAATCTATTAACTGGTAACACTTTTTCATTTTTTGACATAACGCATCTAACATTTCATTTAGTCATAATTCTGATTAAATTCTATGAAACATAAAATTTATTCGTTGTAAGTACAAAAAGCTCACTTGTGGCATTTATCTCCATAACAATAATCATGAGTAAGTATTTGTACTATAGAACCGTTTTTTTCGATCGATCGAGTTTGCTTTTGATTCAGTAATAATCTAGTGTAAATTATAATGTAGTAAATACTTGAATATTAACCGATTATTATTATTGAGCAATATCTACTATATTCCTTCCCGAGTTCCCTGTTTTCAATTTTTACTATTCGCAACAAAGATGCACGTAAAAATTTGCTTCTTGTATTTTTGTACTATTTATTATCCTATTCGCTTTAAATTCACAGTCTTTGACTTTAATATTAGAATAAAGATGGCTATGTTTACAAACATTCAACAAGTTGTCGATATTTAATCACATCAATCATAAATATACAAGATTTTACACCCTTAAATCACGTAGTTAGCACTTAGAGAAATAATTTGCAACCTATTACCAAAAGTATATACAACTTTGCATAGTATATAGCACCAGGTAAAGATCGTGCTCTAAGTAACCTTGACATATTTTTATATGTATATTAATATTATATTATTGAACTCATCGCGCCTAAACCGAACCTCACGCGGTGTATAGTGTTAATGAGTGTTTTTACCGCGTGATTATCAGATTAAACTGTTATCTTATATGTCGTAATGATGATCGCGTCATGCGAAATAATTCATAATGCCTCTATAAACCTATGCAAACTAGCCTATTAGTGTGGCGACAACACAGCTACGGTACGATCGCAAATATCAACGTGTAGACGAAGATTTTACAAAAATGGTATACTCTGCTAATATATCACAAGGTTTTCGAAACATAAAACAATGCTCCAATAGCACACTGCACTGTAGAGTCGAAGCGTAGCGCGATAGAGCAGAAACAGTACGAGCACGTCCACCGGTCAGAGGGTGACCGGGCGGGAGCCGAGCGGGCAGCCACATTCAGTGCATTTCACGTGCCCACATGACACGAAAGAGTGGCGCGACGGAGCGGCCCCGAGCGTCGCGACGGCCGGCAGACCGCGACTGGAGCCGTGAAGCGTCGCTGCGCGGCAGCCTAGGGCCCGAGCGAGCAGGACGAACATACAGCACACTGCTGCGCACCACCGACAATTTTAGCCCTTGAACCCTCTATCTTAATTCCCATTTACCTTGCTCGTGCCGAGGCTCTTACGGTTTAATTTGGCCGCTAAAGGGTTTTCACCCCGCGAACCGAAGCGGAGTTTCGTAGACGCAAGAGATAGAGATTCTGTGTGGCCTTTCGTATAGGCCGTTTTGATGTTATGTCACTATTGAGCGTGTCTTTGACTTGTTGTTTTGGCCGTGAACGAATTTTAGCCGTGCACTCATTGCGACTATGACGTCGTTATTTAGTACATAATAAAGTATGTATCACACGAGAGAACTTTTCATTTTCCAGTAAGTACAATTATTTGAATATCTAAAATACTAGTTTAAGAAAATATTTTAGGTATATACATTAAAATTTATTACAAAAACCAATCTAGCCCACGGGAACCGTATATTTTTCCGGGATGATATGTAACCTATAGCCTTCCTCAATAAACGGGCTATGTAATGTAAAAAGAATTTTTCAAATCGGATTAGTAGTTCCTGAGATTAGCGCGTTCAAACAAACAAACTCTACCTTTTTATAATATTAGTATAGATTAATTAATGCTCATGAATAGTGACTTCGTAATTAGTAACAGTACTAAAAAACTACTCACAATATTTGATTATGTAAGTAATATGTTATCTACTGTAAAATGTTAAAAAACTGATTGCTTTAAAAAGTTGCTAAAATATAAAAATACGGTGTACAGTCCATTAACTTCCGTTTTCAACATCACTAAATTTAGTGTTCTGTAATTAGAATATAATAAATTTGCATATTTTAACAAACTTTAGGATATCTATACAGATATGAAATTATTACCACCGCTAGCTAGCTGTCGAAAACTTTCCTCGTATTTGTAGAATATACGGTAGTGTTTTAAATATAATAAATGTAAATACAGCTTTAGCATTAGAAAATAAAATCAAAATGTACCTATCTGTAATCTGAAATACATACTTAATACTATAAAGTTAAGTTGTGAAAGTGTGTTTGTTTGTTTGTCTGTCCTTCTTTCACGTCGAATCAAAGTGACGAATTGGCGTGATTTTTTGTGTAGACATAGAGAGCTAGAGAGTAACATAGACTACTTTGCCGCTTTTTAAATTATTTCATTCCCTCGGGAAAACATACAACCCACAACAACTCAACATTCTTATATATATACTAGCCTTGCCCACGGCTCCGCCCGCGTTCAGATGACCAAAAACCAAATTCTTAGGTTTTATATATTAGTATACTCTTACATTGCAATTATTGCATTTTCCTCAGAAATGAGACATTTTCCCGCGGTAAAAAGTATCCTATATGTTGATCCGGATAAACAGCTATCACCATACCAAATTACATCAAAATCCATCCAGTGGTTTTTCTGTGATGCGGTAACAGACAGACAGACAGACAGGCAAAAATTCTACAAACTATAGGTTCGGCCTCTGAATCGGTAATTATGTCTATTTCAATAAGATTTTCCAAAAAATATTTAATGTACAGATTCGGCTTAGTTACAATTTTATTATATGTATAGATATAGTCTATCTATTCCATACTATCCATTAAAACGTACCTAGTGACGAACTCAAGCGAAGCGAGTGTGACTCGCTAGTTCATAATATTTAATTAAACCCTTTAAGATTGCGAAACCACTATCGCGGCAGCATCACAAGTAACGTATCCAAATCAAAGCAGTGAAGCGTGGCACTTATCGTAGCGTCAATTTGCACGCCAAATCGATCACTATTTATATCTGCAAAAGCGTAAGCGGGCATCTGTTCCAAAACTACTTTTTAGAGTTACACGAACAAAACGAAATCCAAATAGTAAATGAAAAACAACATTTTTCTCAATGTTGTTGAACGATTTTTCTCAATATTATATTTTATTTAACTGAATAAAACACGAGGAAATAATTAAAAAAGACCGTCCTAGTAGACCTTGTTAAAGATTTTATTTTTCATAATAAGACAATGCTTAAAATTGTGCTTCAGCGACATTTTCACGAAACGGAAAATTTTCACTCACTTACACACCTTCCTTCCCTCTGTAATAAAAAGCTACATACAAATAGGTTGATGGATTCTTGATATTCCTATACTTTACAGGCAGAGGGAAAACGTGCACCGGAAGTTCCTGTCATTATAGTGAAAATTAGTTATTACAAGTTAAATATTTATAAATATTATTGAAATTTGTACCGTGTACGTGGCCGTAAAACTGAGGAGGTTTAATATAAATTAAATTGGCAGGTTTTTGGCCCACTACTGTACCAAAAATATGATTTTTTTTTATATTTGTTTACCTATTTTTTATGTTAATCTGGAGTTATCTGTAAAGTTTCAGAACCAATTTAAGCAAAAACTATCGCTGACAATATGTATTGTAAATAATAATAATCTAATATAATATTATAATATCGATTGATTGTGTTGCTATTTTCAAAAATTATTTTATTCAAATTACTGTACATACATATGGTACAACAATATAGGTATATTTACTAAAAATAAAAAATAAACTTTTTAGGCAAAATCTAAATTAAGCATTAATATTAAATAGGAAAATTGTCTGGTTGTCTTATATAGTTATATGATAAACAATACTATTTAGAATGTATGAATAGTAATGTCTAGATTAAGCCCATTTATTTTGATCACGCTATTTTCATATTAGGCGATCTAAAAATATAAAATCAATTTGATGAAGACTTCGCCAAAGGGCATGGTAATAATATAATTACTGTTAGACAGTAGATAGACTTATTAAATGTAAATAAAACTAGCTCTTAATGATAATTTCGAATAAACTCATATTATTACAATTTAGTTCAAATTATCTTTAATTATGAGCAACAATAAACTATATGTTTATTAGTTAATATTATAATATTTAATAACATAAACTTCGAATAGAATATTATACATGACGACGACACGATTTGACGACACGTTTGGCTCAGTTTGTAGTGTCAGCGGTCGCGGGTTCGAGTCCCGCTGAAGGCATTCATTTGTTTGATAAGCACGAATGTTTGTACACCAGTCATGGGTGTTTATATTTATAATATGTGTGTATTTAAAGTTATATATGTGTAGGGTATCAACTATCTGGTATCCATAACACAAGCCTCGTAGCTTACCATGGAACTAGATGGTGCTGTGTGTTAATGTCCTAACATATTTATTTTATTTATTTATTCATGTATCTATACTATAATACATTATAAATAATCTCAATTAATATTTCTAATTAAAGAGAATTTTGTAATTAAGCTTAGATTGACCTCAGAGTTTAACGAGTATCCCTCCCTAAGTGAATAGACACTATTTATATAAGACCACTCCGTTTTTAACCCTCGGGAGTTTCATTTTTAATGAATTACAATTGTTTAAGTTAAAAATCTATCGGTCATGGCTATGATAGAAATTAATTTGGTTGTTATCATTCGTATTGTGGATATTTCTACGCTGCCAACAATACATAATGGTCATTGTGGGTAATGAAACGTGTATAACGAACCCGTTTAAGTCCTTTTTTCCTGTCTACTTGTATATATGTATGTACTAACTTCAATCATAATAACATCCCACACTTACCTTACTCTGCAATAAACCTATTTTAATTAAATAAACTATTATATCACAAATAGTATAAATAAATTCTGAACACACGTTTGAATCAGTTGGTAGTGACCTTACTTGCTGTGCCAGCGGTCGCGGGTTCGAGTGCCGCTGGGAGCATTCGTTTGCGTGATGATCACGAATGTTTGTACTCCAGTCATGGGTGTTTATATTTACAATATTAAAGTTATATATGTGTAGTGTATCAACTATCTGGTATTCATAACACAAGATTCGTAGCTTACCATGGAACTAGACGGTGCTGTGTGTTAATGTCCCAATATTAATTAAAAAAACATAGTATAATAGCAGACTCACTTTGTAAATATAGTTTATTAGATATGTATGTAAATCGTATATACCTATCGACATTTTAGTTTGATTGGAATTCTAATGTCGCACGGTTCCGGTCAATGATCTCCATTAAAGCTAGGCAGTTAATTTTCCGACTTTAATATCTTTCTATATTTTTATGGCTGAAAATTTGTATATTTTTTTTTAATTTTTTACTTCAGCCTTTTAAATTTAACATTTAAACAAAACATAAAAATAAACTATGTCTAATTAAATCAAGTAGACCTTACAAATAAAGTAACGGTCGTGTGTTGTTTAAATACATGAAAGAATCGCTAAAAAATACCCATGATATTTTTGGTGTATTATTTTTGTATTCTTAATTATTAAAATACTAGCGGCTCAAACTCCCTTCCCTCGGGTTCGTTCCTGGGTACATTTTAACGGTTAGTATGGAATAGATAGACTATATTATACATACATAGGTATGATAAGTTGTTGTGGGTTGTATTATAATGTATTTTCTCATGGGAATGAGATAATCTCCATCTCAAATCCACACAAAAAATCACACACGTCTCTCTGTTTCGACATGAAAGAAGGAACAAGAAAACAAACAAAAAACACACTTTCACATTTATAATATTAGTTTGGATTTTATATTTTAATAATACCATAATTATAAAAATGTAATTTTGTCTAAATAAACTTACTAAATAAGAGGTATCGAATTTAAATTAGACAGAGAAAAGTGTTCCTGAAAAATTTATCATTATATCAAAATAAAAAAATAAATATATATAAAAGAAACTTTAATTGCTATTAATAAGTACAATTTTCAATAAATACAATTTTTGAACTTAAAATGCAGCTAAAAGGAAAATGGTGGTCTCAACTAACTAACTCAACTGATGCTGCTGAGAACGTAAGTAGAGCTAATTTTCAGTTATACATAAATCCCTAAATTGTTTAGCGGGAGAAAGGAATTTGAACTAAATATTCCTTTAAGTGACCTCTTATAAAGTAAAAACTAAAAAGAAAAAAAATAAAATTTAAATGG